CCCCCACCGCCCCGCCAGGCTCCAGCACAAAGGGAGGGCCCCTCTCTCTGTCTGCTATCCACCCAATCTCTTTAATTAAACAGATAAAACCCCTAATCCGCAACGGTGCAGCGAGCTCCACCCCATCAAGAATATAAAAAAAGTCCATATAATGCAAATGTACGGAACCCCCAAAGTTGATGCCTAAAAAACACACATGACAGGAATCCAACGACCGCAGTTGAAGAATCAGTCTTCTGAAGCGAAATGATAGATGTAAGAAAAAAGCTAATATTTAAAACTTCTCACAACTGTCATACTCCTAAACCAATTTTACAGCCTATCAAATTATATGGCCTCTTAAAAGTCAGTGTTATATAAGGCTCCTCAAGTCAATTCAAGGTCATTAAAGGGATAGTACAAACAAAAATAAAAATTCTGTCATCATTTACTCACCCACAAGTCACTCCAAACCTGTAAGACTTGCTTTGCTCTTTTGAACAAAGATGGAAGATATTTTGAAGAACGTTGATAACAGTTTTTGTTCCTATTAACAGAAGGAAACCGAAACCATTTAGTTATGAGGTATTCGGCCAATCACAACGCATTGGATAGCTGGCCAATCACAGCATACCTCGCTTTTTCAGACCGATGAGCTTTGTAAAAATCGACGCGTTTCAAAAAGGCGGGGCATAGAGGAGAAACAATAATGTACAGTATGTGGAAAATAATGTTTTTTAACTTTAAACCGCATAAACACATTTCATTACACCAAATACACAAAATAATGTTCTTTTTAGCAGCATCATATGACCCCTTTAATCTTCAAAATATCTTCTTTTGTGAAGAAAGTAGGTCATACAGGTTTGAAAAGATGGGTGGACTATCCTTTTAACCCTTTAACGGCCTGCTCGACCAAATGGTTGAGCACATTTTGAGTCACTATATTTTATTGAGAGGAGTACCTAACTTAACTCAAGCTGACATGTCTGACATGTTAACTCGGCTACATCATGGCCGTCTCTATTAGTTTTAAGGACTCTATGTAACTACCAACTCAGTCATAAAAGAGATCGGTTTCTTCCAATTCTTCTTCTTCTCTGTCTTTTGCACTACACAGATGTTTTCTTAAAACACCCACTAACAGAAAAATCACATTTTGTCCATCACACCAGTAGCTATTGTCGGCTGTTCTTTGAGGCCAAGAGCTTTTATCTCCGAAACGATCAGTGGTGCTCAGTTGGATGCGCTTTATTTGTTTAGTGGTGTTTAGTGACAGGAAGAACCACCATGTGGGGCAGGAATCTACCCCATTGTCTTCAGTCCAGCGCGTTACATGCGGGGAGGAAGGGGGAGGGCAGTGGTATTTGGGGTGGAGCCAAGTGAACACGACCTAACCCCCCACCCCCCAAAGACCTTTTCATGTGCAATGAGTCCAGACATTCATATGAAACAACTTGCCTTGAGCCATGCAAATCCAGCGTCTATTCAAAATGTATGACTCACACATGGACGAAACATTTACCAAGCTTTTGTGCTTTTTTTCCATTTTATTTCTGGGGTTTTCATCCAATTTACACCTGTTGTCCCCTTCCCTACCCAAATACAGGCTTTTAAATAAACCCATTAGATCACTGAATGAGCAGAATCAACGTTCTCTAGTCTACTACATGTCTAGAGATTCAGGAGACATTGGTTGCAATGTGCAACATTTTCTTGATGGAAAAATAAATCACTGCATGTAAGCAGTAATAGCGTGCTAAAACAAACCAAACCAACGAAAAACTAATTCTACATTGTAAAAAAGTAGGTGGTACAAAAAAAATATACAGTCTAAAAAGTAACAAACTAATGGTTACATATTGCACACACAGAGGCTTCAACAAGAGAATGACTTGAAATATCAAACAGTGCGTGTCTGTTACAGTGAACACAGTTCTCTACCTACACAAAATACGGGACTTCAACACAAAAAAGCCTAAGTTCTGGGTAAAAAAAAAAAAAAAGCATTTGAATGTTTTGACCAATCAAGAAGAAACAGAAAACGAAAAGACGAGCCCTGCAGAATCAGCAAGTAAATGGCAATATACTGAGGTAGTTTAAAGTTCAGGACAATTTTGATCCAAAGTCCAGTAAAGTGGTTGAAAAAGCTTCTCATTCAGCAGGACGTAAAGCAGACACTTTGGTCTTAAGGCCAGTCAACATATATAATTCATTGTGTAGTCTAAGAACCTTCTGAACAACAAAAAAGGACAATAACAAAAAGAAAAAAAATGTAGCATGTTTGGTTAAACTTATCTTTAGTTTACAATAATAATAATAATAATAATAAAATATTTTGGACCGAATATTAAAGTCTGCTTAACAGAAACTAGACATCTGGACTAAAATGTTGACGCTACAGCTGAAGCACATTGTAACAGCAGATCCATCTTTTCTAACCTGAGCCGTGAGGTTAAACTAGTTATTAGCATGACCTTGGAGGTAAATGTAAATGATAGTGTAACAGTGAGGTAATCTTTATGAGCCACAGTGTCTTAAGGGAAGAGGTACAGCACAATGAAGTCGTCTTCATAGCACACGGCAGAACGCGGTTCTGGCGATCATGGCTCTTTTTCCCTGGGGGGAGGAGGAGGAACCAGTAAAGCATGGCTTCCTCCAGCATGGAAATGAGGGGAGCACAGATGCCTCCGTCCCCTGAGGCGTCTCCCTCCATCTGCCTGAGGGAACTGGAACTTCAGCGTAACGTCAACCTTCTCTAAAGACCGCATCGGTTTAAAACTGATTCGACAAGAAATACGGACAAGAACAAAAGAAGCTACTTCATACAAACATAAGCTGTTTCAATGGTATGTTGTGTGTAAGTTTTAAAGTGGTCTGTACATCCCTGATATGTGGCATGTCACTGTAAACAAGACCAGAAGGGAGACAGGATTCTTGGTCGTAAAGCCATCAGTTCATATAAAAAGGCAGCAGCATCAAAGGACCGTAAATCCAGTGTGAAAGTTTAAGGACTCATTTGAAAATGCTGGTGAGATGGAATGTGGATCTCCACGATTTCTCTTCTTAAGGCTGTGTGCTTTAAAAAGGATCCCCAAGTCATAAGAGCATCCTTCGTCTTTTGTTGAGGTCGACACAGAACCAGAGTCTAGTTTATCTGTTGTGGCACTGGAAGAAGGTCCTCACTTGGCTAAATAATTTAAAAAAAAATAGACATCCTCAGTTCATAAAAGCCTAAAAGGAAGCATCCAAAGCTAAAAAAACAAGAGTTCTCAAGTTAATACTATGACCTCAGTGGGATCCACTCGACTGTTGGATTTCTGTTTGGAACGTCTTCGTCTGCGAACAAGACGAAGCCCCTCGGGAGCGGCGGAGAGGGCGGAGGACGGCGGCAGCCCCAGGTTGAGTTTGTCCTCCCTCTCCTGGCGTCACCTGTCGAAGCAGCCGGCTGTGAATGTGTGGTGGGAACTCAAGTAGCCGCTCCCGTAAGTCAGACCGAGGCAGTGGCGCTCGGGCCCCATGCTCACCTGCATGGAGATGGGACCCTGGAGGGGCAAGCCTCGCAGCCCCGACGCCAAGCTTGGGAAAGATGCGAACGAGCCGGCCGGCATTGAGGCCGAAAGCAGACCGGCCTGGTGGGGCTGCAGATATTCCCGAGAGCCCACCGGTCCCAGGGCCTGGCAGTCGGCCAGCATGTGCAGCTGGGATAATGCCGGCGAGTGCTGGGAGAGCTGCGGGTAGCTGCTGGCCTGGAGGAGCAGCTGCTGGGAGCTGGAGGTGGGCTGCCTCTGCAGAGAGGGGGTGGCGGGGCTGTGGGGGACGTGAGCTTGCGGCTGGAGGCTCTGACTGACGGAAGGGGAAGATTTGGATTTGTTGGCCTCTTTTACGTCGTTGTCGTGAGCACTGAAAAATAAAACAAAAGAGCAGGGTGAGGTGAAGCTGGTGGGGTTTACTTCAGAGCACATTGCATTGTATGATTGCGAGCATATACTGTGGTTTGCCCTTACAGTAACATGAGCTGGATGCACTGCGTCAGATGATCCCAAGAGTAGCCCGTGAGCAGGTGGAGGACAGTGGTCCAGCTGGGGGAGATCTGCAGGCAGATTCTGGACGCAGCTATGCAGGCGGCTGCCACCTGAGAAGGCCTGAAGCTCAGGAAAGCATGATCTACAACAAAGACGCATACAAACATGTGTTATGTTATATCCTCAGTGATTTTACCACGGTTAAGAGACTGTTAGGCGTGAAACTTTTATAAAGCGGCTGCATCATCAATATGCTTAATAAGTCATCAATAACTGACTTATAAACCATATAAATTAATAGTAATTTATTTATTAAGCATATAAATAAAACAGATCATTAAAAATAATTTGAATAATTTAAAATTACATTATTGGAATGAACACAATTCCTGCAATTCTTCCAATTAAAAAAACAAAAAAATAAACTGACACTTTGATTTTATATATTAATAATTCTGTTAATGAAAAGAGGCGAATAAATTGACTATTTTATATTACTGTACATTGCATTGTCTTGTATAATAATGTAGTACACACAACTGTTGAAAAGTTTGGGGTCTGTAGTAGGGATGCACCGAATATTCGGTAACCGAAATTATTCGGCTGAAAATAGCACCAAAAAAAAATGTCGGTGTTCGGCCGAATAAGCGAAAAGGCCGAATAATATGTACCGAACAATGACTAACGCGATCAAATAGAGGCACGCACTAATGCAGCAATTATGTCGGTAGTGTGAAAGTATTTAAAACTATCAGAGAAAGATGCAGAAATCATTACAAGCACGAAGCACCGACAGCGAGAGACTGTTTAGTGCTGCATCAGGTCTCCGATGAGAAGAGGTGGCTAATGCTGGTGGTTAAGTTACTGTATGATGATTGATATCGCGAAATTACCTCAAACGACTAGTAAATAAACTGCAGAACGTTATATTTTGTAATGCACGCACAAATTGCATGTATTCTGACAGCGCTGCACGAGTTAGCGGCGCCAGGGTTCAAAGTCCAAACTAGCGCGAGGAAAATCTGCGCTGAACTTGTTACTCGTCAGTTGCTCAGTAACATTTTTGTGAATTTTTTTAAAGGCATGTGACAATGTGATACGCGCGACAAACATCTTCTCAAATTCGTAATGAGAATAATTTATAAATCTGCATGCTGTTGTCAACAAAAATAAGCACTGAGATCTTCCTGCGGGTTTAAGCCAAAATAAAAGTCAAGAAAAAGCAACAACTCCATCGACATTCATAAATGATAGTATTGTCATTTTACTGTCGTTCTGTAAAATAAAATAAAAAAGACAATAATAATAATTACCCTACAACAGCTCTATTAATACTAGGGCTGCAACTAACGATTATTTTGATAATCGATTAGTTGGCCGATTATTTTTCCCCGATTGATCAATTAATCGGATCTTCTTCTTTCTTTTTTTTTTGACAAAAAACACTTCCACATTCTGCCCAATGTCCTTTAAACAAACGTGTCAACTGAATGCTATGAAAATAGTGCTTAACAATTTATTAGACACACATCATAATAAAGATAAAACACAAATATTTTAGGAATCTGTCAAAAAATTGTTTAAATCTAAAAATGTTATTGTCATTTATTGGGCAAATATCAAACTAAGTAGGCTAGTATTTATTCACATATTAACAAGAATGTCCTCCTATGCCTTCCATAACAGCTTGCATTCTTGCTGGCATTGCTTAGGTACTTTTTGACT